TTAAAAGATGCCAGCCTTAGGCTACATCCCTATGCACACTGGGAGAAAGCCCTGCAGAACTCAGTAGGCCTTACTTTTGGGTAGATAGGCCAGGACCTATTTTAACTCGAAATGGAAATTCTTATATTGGGAAGCATGACATCAAAGGTGCCCAATTTGCTGTTAAAGCTGGCAGGATTAGGGTTCCCTTGTAATCCCACATGGTAGAACTCATGAATGATCACCTCTGTAAGAAATAGACTATATTTTTCCTGCAGAACCTCAGATCTTTTCAGTACGAAGAACGGACTGTACTTCCTCTCTCTTACAAGGCAAGCTTATACACATCTACTCAGAAGCAAGACCCATTGAATTCAATGGGACTTCGGCTTAAGTATAATAAATGAAAGGACAATAGTGCAATGTTATGCATATCTACTAGAAATAAGTCCCACAGAGTTCAATGGAACTCCCAGGTAATTAAGAATAGTCAATCTTTTAATACAGCTTTGTATTTAACAACTTTTTGGTGTTCATCAACAAGCAGGATTTGCACGTAGCAGGACGGTGAATAGACTGTTTTTTCACAGCTAGCAAGGAAACATAGCAGGCTAGTTAAGAAATACAGATCCCTTAGGGTGCCTGTGTCCTGTGGCATCCTTTATAGAGCTGTCCTATCCATGTCTAGTTTAAAGAGAAAGAATCCTAAGAAGGAACAGCAGGGAGGCGGTCTTAAAGCTGCCCATCACTTAGTACTGGGACAGCAAATTGTGCAAGACACACAAGTCCTGTGGCCACAGTCTTCCAGACAAGAGTGACTTGTATTTCTATTTAAACTATAGTTGTTTTTCTAAACATCCATCTATATCTTTGACCAAAGAAATGTCAGGCATGTTCAGGCTGTGATAAACACTCAGCTCATTATTCCAGGTTGACTCTGCTCATGGGAGAAAGTAAGGGCTGTAGCAATCATATCAGCAGGTCTTGCCTGGCTACTGATGAGCCAATCTGAATTTTCCTTCTTTGGGAGTTCCCTGTATAGAAATACCCATATAGTGCAATCCTTTCTTTGCCTTTTGGGGTGACTGGCAAGACAAAATACTTCCATGGTCTGGAGACTTATGCAAGCAGGTTTCCTTTTCTTTAGTAATGTATCTCCTCTGTTTTGGTGATGTGTAAGTGAATAACCTATCTGTGCCTCAGTCTGCTTGGTGGATGGTGATGGTGATGGTGATGGTGATGGTGATGGCGAAGAAGAGGAAGAGGAAGAAGAGGAAGAGGAAGAGGAAGAGGAAGAGGAAGAGGAAGAGGAAGAAGAAGAAGAAGAAGAAGAAGAAGAAACAAGGCTGCTCAGAAACTAGTAGTCTGCATTTCCATGTTACTAGTTTCTTATCAAGCCAGTGAATACTTCTACAGACTAGTAACTTCTGTGGGGTTTATTTACAGTCGCCAGCTGGCATCCAAGACAAAATACCATTCCCCTTCCAAATAAGGTGAGGCAGATAACTACTAAACAAATGGTCTTTTTGGTGATGGCACTTCAGTTATGTAACACGTTCCTCAGAGAGGCTCACCTGCAGTCTTTTGGCACCAGGTGAAGACTTGTTTTAATTTATCAAGCATATAACCATTTTGTTTTTTAAAATTCAATGTTTTAGACCCCTTGCATTTTTGTTATTCCTTGTTGCTAGTTTTACATCAGTTTTGTCCTATGGCTGTGGGTTTTTTAAAAAATAAAATAAATGAATACATTTAGGCACCATTGTCTCCATGTTTAGGCAATTCCAAGCCCACATAGCAAAACTCCCAGCATGGGCTACTATGCATGCTGTGAATTGCAGGACCTAAGCATGTATCAGGTTGTGTCCTTGAAGCAGGAGGAGATACTTCCATCCCTGCCTCTCCCACATTGTCCCTTCACTCATCCTGCTGCTCCACCTTGTGTGAAGAACTGGGTGCTTCAGGTGGCAGGACAGGAGGATGAACAATGGGATCTGGAAAGAAACAGGGTAAGAAACAGACTAGCAGCAAGCCCTTCTCCTGTCTCAGTTCTGTTCAAAGGAAAGGAGTGTTCTCTGGGTTGTAACCTGGCAGTGCCCATGGTACCCCAGGACACCACTTGTGTGCATCACCTATTTAACCTTCTTCTCTGGACCCAAGATCAATAACTTTGAGCATTACATCAGAAAGAGGTTCTGGGCCATGGTAATATTAGACTGGATGCTATGTGACGAATGCAGCCTGGCTGAGCCAGTCCGCCCAATATAAGAGCTCTCCCTCCCAAGCAAACAGGAGGCTCACTTTCCATGGTAGCTGAGCAGGGTAATAACCAACTGTGGTGCAGTGATGATCTGGATGATGAAGGAGCTTTATCCTATACAGATTAATTATACTAATTAGTTGATGGGGTGGGGGAGAAGGTGAGTTAGCCATGTTTTCTATTAAAACACATCAAAAAAAAAAACTACAGTCATCTATTACATTATGAAGATCAGCTGAAATGACAGAAAATAGTGCAAAAGCTTTCCAGAATACTTCTTCAAATGAAAACAAACAAACAAGAACAAAACAGAACTAATTAGACAGTTTTTCCTCCAGCAAAGTTGATCTGGTTACCAATTAAATCTGCCTCTAGCCTGGAATCTTTGACACCAGAAGAGAAAGCCATGAAGTTAAACAAACACCACTATATGTGTTAGTGAGATGACATGGTTTCCTAAACCCCTTCCATTCCATCCATTGCAAGAAGTAGATGATGGGATGGAGAGAAGCTGTATCACACACCCAGTGCTCAGTGGCCAAATGCCAAGCAGCTTCAACTGCTTCCATAGCTTAAGAAGGTATAAGTGTACCATACCCCTTACTTGTGTAATCTAGGCTGGACAAAGGAGTCATATAAGGTAGATTCTGACAGGGTAAAAGACAGGATCTGCACAGAAACCTGTCCAGGGGTGGACCACATCTGAGCACAATGGAGGGGAGTGGTTCCTAGGAAGGAACTAGCCATCCTCTGTCCCTGCTCTGAGGGATGACGAAGCAGCTGAGCCCAGGAGGCAGGAGAGCAAGTGAAGCAGCTCCGCATCCTGCTGCCTGCTCGCTCACTCTCTCTCTCTCTCTCTCTCTGCAGAGATTTTCATGCCTTATTGATGTTTTTTTCCAAAGGCATAAAAACATGGTTGCTGCCTCCCAGGGTGGGATATTAAAAACCTAGCCACACCTCGCTTGCATCTGTGAACGCATCCTAAAATATGCACATTTTAAGTAATCTGGAGACCATAACAAGAAAAACATGCACACTCTGTCAAAAAAAACTTCAGGCACTGGAAGATGAAGAAACAGAAACCAAAAACCAAAACAAGAGAGGGGAAGGCACACATTGTGTTAAAAAAACAGAAGATATGTTGTCAAGGGCCTGAAAAATAAGCATTTCTTCAGGCACCTAAGAACATCTTCTTTTCTGTTTCTTTTGAAAGAAAACAAACACAACGTGAATATGGAAAACAGAGCCCCTGTATTTAGAGAGTTGCATGGAAAAATCTCAGCTCAAGGCACCAAGAGCAATGACTCTGCAGCACAGCTATAAAGAACCAAGAGGCTTTTAAGAACAGCTATCATGCATCTTTTCCCAAGCCTTGACAATAAGTTGGTACCCAAGTGGAAAATAAACTTGACATTGTAGGACTCAATTTGCCTGAACAGTAGGAGTGGAGCCAGGCCCCATTAGCACGCAGATTAATAGCTTTCTCTGCAGCAGAGGGACTGGGAGAAATACAAAAACCACAGAGAGATGTGCAGCCAGGCTAGGAGGGGAAATGGCCTGAGTTCCAGTCCTGCATAGAACATGAGCTGCTGGGTCACCTTGGGTAGATGTTGCCTACTTCTTCACATCATCTACTACGTATCTTACAAAGCGCACACCCAACCCCTCTTTTGGCCACCTCCCCAACCTTGTATCATCTGCTGATTGTACACAGCCATGACTAAAACAATAGCATTCATGCCACATCAGGAGAGGGAGGCATGAGCATCAGTCCTGGGCATGGTAGCAGCAGTATGGGTCTGACACCATATCTGTTCTCCTGCCTACTCTGGAGAGAATCATCTTCCACTGCCACCAGCACCTTGCAAACACACACACACACACTGGAGAGTGCATTTAGCAACTCAAAAAATGGAGAAAAGCCTAGAATTGCACCGACTGACAAACGCAGAGGCCCTGGGGACAAGTGTCAGGGGCGTTGCCAGCTTTGTGTAAACAGCCTGCAGCCTCCTTACAAAGCCACCTGCATAATTCTTAACCTTCTTCTACTGCACTGATGCAAGTGAAGAGGGAGGGTTTCACCGTGATGATGGTGGTGAAGTGGGGTGGGGTCCTGGCTGAAAATCACAATTGCTGGTAGTGATGGTGGAGGGGGTGGGGGTGCAGGAATCAATATAGCTCATCGCAGCCTTTCCACTTTCACTCTTTAGGGGCATAGCCTCAGGGACAACAGCAGGATTTTGACAAATTAAGTCTCAAAGCCTGGGAAGAGAAGATAAAAATATGGCTTACAAAGAATATGGAAGGATGGGGGTGGGGGGAGTTATGCTTTCTTCCTGGCTGCAAGGAATTCCTTCTTTCCAGTAGCCAAACCAGTAGCTCAGCTAGCCACACCCAGTGACTTCAAGTCTGCAGAGGGAAGGATGGAAGGGCCAGCCAAACACATGAAATAAACTCACAGCATCTTCTCCTCCAACACTACTTTAATCTGGAGAGGGAATGTGTTTTTGGTTCTATGGGTGGGCTTAGCTGGGGACTGAATGGGGTTCCAGGGGGTCAATTCATTAGCAAACAAGTCACCAAAAGGGAAAAGAAAAGAAAAGAAAAGAAAAGAAAAGAAAAGAAAAGAAAAGAGGATCTGCAGGTTATCTGCTAGCCTTTGTGCCCAAAGGCAAGCTACCTTACAGAATAGGCCTCGTTCAGGGATGACAATGGCCATTCTCCTTGCCCCCGGCCACTCACGCCCCCAGTCGCTACTTACCCCAATGATGACGGTGTCATCTCCCTGGAAAACTGGGATGAATTTATCTCCCCGTAAGATTTCCGATTGATTCAGTGGCCGGAACCTACAGAGCACCTTGATGCTGCATTCATTGACTTCCGTCGTCATGCTGGCTGGTGGCAGGGCAGGTGGGCTCTGGCGGCTGTGGCGGCTGCAAGAAGCAAAGAAAGGATGGAGGGGATGGATGAGCAGGAGATACAATTATCCCAAGGGAGGAGGAGGAGGAGGAGGAGGAGGCGGAGGCGGAGGAGGCGGCAAAGGCAGCTCTCAGCCGGGCGCTAACAGATCGCAAAAGAAAACAAATCACAGGCGAGGGCCACTTCTTCGATTGTCACCGCACAGCAGCAGAGCGGCTGGGCTCTCTCAGCTGGGCTGGTGGGTCCCCTGTGCGTGCCTGTGTTACCCCAGAATGCTCTGCCGCTGCTAGCAGTGCCTGTATCCCCTGTGCGCTCCTGCTGCAGGCATCGGCAGCATCAGCACCAGGCAAAGGGATGGGCTGCTACAGCTTTTAAGGTGGAGCAGCCTCTGGTGACTTAAGGTGGAAGCGGAGCAGTAGTTCAAGCAGCCTGCCAGCCATAGCCTGGGGCTATCCAGGGGGGCTGCACTACAACTCCCAGTATTCTTGAACATTGGCCATGAGGGCAGGTTGTAGTTCCAAGCTTCTGAAGGGCCCCAGTTTGGGGGAGAATGATTTAGAGCAGGGAGGAAGCTGGAGGTTGAGTTATAGGTGCTCTGGACTTCAAGCCCTACAGATTGAGAAGAGAAGACTGAAGGGAGATATGATAGCACTCTACAAGTACTTGAAAGGCTGTCATAAAGAGGAAGGGCAGGATCTCTTCTCAATCATCCCAGAGTGCAGGACATGGAATAATGGGCTCAAGTTGCACCAAGCCAGATTCTAGCTAGGGATCAGGAAAAAATTCCTGACTGCTAGAGCAGTACGACACTGGGACCAAGGACCCAGGGAGGTGGTGGGCTCTCCCACACTGGAGGCATTCAAGATGCAGCTGGACAGCCATCTGAGGGGGATGGTTTAAGTTGGAGTCCTGCACTGAGCAGGGGTTGGACCCAATGGCCCTCTGGCCCCTTCCAACTCTACTCTTCTATGATTCTTGGCCCTTGACCAGACTGATGGGAGGTGACCTTCTGAACTCCTAGAGATCTACCTTCTGCCCACCTCTGCTCAATCACCATCCAGCCCCTGCTCCTTCCCACACTTAATCTGTATCCACTTGCCACCAGTTACTTCATCTTTAGAACATAAGAACATCATAAAATCCCTGCTGGATCAGACCAAAGGTCCATCTAGTCCAGCACTCTGTATACATGGTGGCAAACCAGCTGCCCACAGGATCCCTCAAGCAGAATAGGTACAAGACCTCCTCCTGCACAAGCTCCTCAGCAACTGGCAGATACAAGCATGCCACTTCTTTCCTGCTTTTGATTTGATATGGAGGAGGAGAGGATTCCAGAAAGCCATGTTTGTGTACCAGGGGAACATTGACAAGTGCAGCATATGGGTCATGCACAGGTTAAAATACCTGCTTCTTCTAACATTCTCTTTTGTGGTCCAGGAGCTCCATCTTCCTTTGCTTCTGGAGATCACCTTAGCTTTTTTGATGAGGTATACTAAGATGCAAGGAAGATCAGTCGATCAATAACACTCTAAGGATGTTTTCAACATGGCAAAGAAAACTCTTTTTACATTTCTGGGGTGCTGCTTAATCACTAATGCGATAGATGGCAGGACTTTCTAGGCTTATCTCCACACACACACACACACCTGTCCCCATCTCAAAAGACTTCTGCGCTAATGTTAGAATTATGGACCTTGACTATGATTATTTAGAGTTCAGGAGACACCAGGTCAGGCTATTTGTCCATTGCTTTTACTCTGACTGCCAGCCACTCTCCGCCGTCTCAGGCAGAAAACCTTTCTCATGCTCACTGAGTGATTCCTTTCAAACTGGGACTGAACTTGGGATCTTTGACAAACAAAGCAGAAGCTCTGCAGCTGAGCTGCAGGCCCTCTTCTTCCTGGGGTGTTTCTGCCTCATCCTTACACTTCCATCTGTTTCTTACTATTAAAAAGTCAATTGAGAAGGGAAATATGAAATAGATGCAAAAATCTTTTGACTGGTGGTGCTATGAACCATCCCCAGGGTTGGGAAAGGCTGTGTTAGAGTTCTGTGTATGCATTAGTTCAAGAAACCTTACAAAAGGCCTGTAAGGTAGACCAGTATTCTTATTCCCAGTTGCAGATGGCTGGGAGACTGGGGCAGGCCCTACGATCAGGAAGAGAGGGGCTGCCACTTCAGCTTGCAGAGGGAAATGGAATGGATAAGGCTCTATGTGCCATGTGGCCTACTCTGTGCCCAAAAACTGCCCTGCTGTCCTCAGGTGTAGTGGAGGATATTGTCTTGTTGGAAGGCAGTTGGCATTTTTTAAAAAGGAGGATAAATAATATCCATGGACTTGTGTGGACAGGCAAAGATATGGAAGTATTTGAGATCTAGCAACTTGGATGTATTGACTGCAAGGTTCTCCCATCACATGATGAATTGGAAATCACATGCCTGACAATGGAGCACACATTTCATCAGCATGGAAAATAAAGTCTATTAATCCAAGTGAAGTTCTTATAGTAGGCTATTTTAAATTTGCATGTATTTAAGTTATCATACTTTGCATAAGTATTTAAGCAGTGGCATTTGCTGCTGCACAACTTGTGACAGAGGATAATCCCAAACCAAAGAACCCAAATTCTCAGCAGCAATATTGGTAACTGAAGGAAATGCCATTGAAGAGAATGAACCACCTCCACAATGGATCTGTACTGCATCCTGTGGCGCTCTAGCTAGCTTCCGATTCTCACCTGACATCTTAAGCCTCCCGCTACATCTGCCTTGACAACTGGCACGTTGGGTAGGAGAGCCTTAGCAGGCAACTAGTGGTTGGGAAACATACCCCGTGGCCACTGGAAATGGTTTCTTCTTTGGAACTGGCAAAAGAGCTGCTCATAGACAGTGTCGCTGCAATGGGGGATAAGGCTGTGACAATATACCAAGTGCTTCCTACAAGGGTGGATATACTTTAGGTTCACCAGACCTGCTTTGATTTCTATCTGAATCCCAAGTTCCACCAACTGGGTTCAGGTATAACATATTCTGTAGCTCAAGAAGGCAGAGGCAGACTGGTAGACCAAGATGCCTCCAAGCATATTTTCCACCAAGGAATTTGCAGCAGAATTGGGGTTTGCATGATACAAACAAAATTCTTTTCACATACAAGATCTTCTCCTGACAGGGTCCAGTCATTAGCACATCCTATCTGTAACCCTCATATATTTCCCCATTGTTCCTTCCATCTTTTTTCTTATCACAGGGAACCCTGAAGGAGTGTGGAATGCTACACAGGCCCTTTGTTTAGAAGCCTCCTCCAGCCTCTTTATTCCTCCATGTGGCCTAGTAGATTGTTCCCTCCCCCGCACTGTCCCTGCCCCTGCCCAAATAATTATGCTGGCTCTTGAGTCCCTCTCTCAGGGCTAAGTGGTGGCTGTGCTTGTGTCTCTTTGAGTACATCCATATCCCATCTGCTTAAAAACCTGTGCAGGCTTGGTTTGGGGGTGGTGGTGAAAACTACATGGGGTGAATGGCAGGTAGGATTCCTTAAGCCAGTCCTTTTAAACTATGAGAAGTAGGTTTATTGTCTTTATTTCTTGCTGGTGTGAGCAGCAGCTGCAGCTCCTTCCCCTCCAGTTATTTGGCCATGAAAGGGAGGTCAAGAGGCAGGTGGGAAGATGGTGAAAAGAGCCATAGCAGCTGCTTCCCAAGGCCATCTGCCTGACCTTGCCACCCTGCCTCATCCCGCTAGACAGCTAACAGAAACAGTGTTAGGAGATGATCCCTAGAGTTGGAGCCCTGAATCTCTGAGAGGTCATCCACCCCACCACCCTGCTTTCCAGCAGCACTTGCTGATATCAAGGGCCAAGGCCCCAGATTGTCTCTGTTGCATCTGATTCCCTGGATTAACTGGCTTTTTGCCCACACGTGCTTCACCCCTTGCTTTCCCCTCTTCAAACTTGAAGTTTTTCTCTGAAATCAAATGCTCTCCTCTCCCCTGCCCATGCAGTCCCTTTTACAAACAGAGATGTCCTTAGGAAGCAGGCTCTTTTAAAGACTCACACATTTGGGAGGATATGTAAATTAGTATATGCAAATATCTGCTTTTTTTTCTTCTTTTTTTGTCCTGTGGGAACTTTTCTCTATTTGGCAATGCCTCTTTCCAGCAAACCAGTGGGGGCAGTTCTCAAGTCCTGTTGCTCATTTCATGCTGCTCATCAGTAAGAGGGTTTGGGTAGTCAGAAGAAGGAACGACAGGAAGCAGATTGCCAAACTGGTTGCTAGTCAGATGTTGGGCAGGTAACTGATGGAAGGAGGAGACTGGGGAGGTGGTCACTGCCTCAGGCGTCCTCCCCTTTCTTATTGCCACCAGGCTACTGACAGTTTGGCTGCGAGCAGTTCTGGGAACTATGATTGCTTTAGAAGTGTTAAGAGTTTTCTTTTTCTTTGTCTTTTTCATGGGCAGCATAAAAAGAAAATGACTATGTTCATTTGAATGAGTTAGTCCATCTGGCAGTCATATTTTGAAAAGACTACCATTTATATTGGCAATTTTGACCCATTCTATCAGAATTCTCTCAAATGGTGCCATTTCGCAGCTATTCCACCTTCTCTTTCTTGAGATATTTTCTTTGGTAAGGGAAAAGATGGAAGAAGGTGGGATATCACAGGCGGGTTATGTGTTGAAAATGGTGCTGTCTGGAGTCTCATAAAATCCTATAAATGTGGCAGGCTGATGGTGGTGTACCAGCCTCTTCTTAACCATACCACACTGATGACCTTGTGGCACCAAGGACCACCTCCTCCTCACACAAATTACATTTCGATTTACTCCAGCTGAATCCCTGCCTCCTTATAAGGGGGATTAGACTAGGTGCATGACACTGCATCTCAGCCGACATCTGTGAGCTGTGTAAGAAACCTGTGCAGTTTATTGCCAGTGTGTGCTAGCAGTGTGGGATCCACACAGGTGGATTCTTCCCACAA